AGAGGGAGCGCCGCACTGTCGGAGGGTCAGTGCTGAGGGAGCGCCGCACTGTCGAAGGGTCAGTGCTGAGAGAGCGCCGCACTGTCGGAGGGTCAGTGCTGAGGGAGCAGGCACTGTCGTCGGAGATGTGAAACTAAGGTTCTGCCTGCACTCTCAAATATGTGATGTCTACTCCTGGGACATAAGGAGTGGTCAGTATTGCCCCCAGATCTCCTTGACTAATATTCCTAACGCTTTCATTCCTTCAGTCAGCCAATTCACTAATGGATGCATGATAATGCTGGCTGTAGCTAGTTACCAGTAGACTGGGTGGTGGTTCAGCAGCGATAGCCGAAGGTTGTGAGTGAGATAGTGGGGGTGTGGAAGAATTAGGCCAACATTGGCAGTTGCTGCTGGGCCTGTGGGTGAATTTGACTGCAATGCCCACCCAGTCCCAGAGCAGTCTGTCTCTCCTTATTTGTGCTGGGAAGTGAGGTGGCCCATCAGTTGCCACCTCATGATCCTATCCCAGCATCAGTGAGGGATGGGTAAGGAGAGGGCGTAAATGTAGCGTCTGCGAGGCCCTTGCCTGCTGTGTATCTGTGCTGTGCAGCTTCCTGATCACACTCACACCTCGTCTTGCTCTGCTCTTCCTGCAGGTTTATTCTGGATGATTCTGCTGTCTATCTGTGTAACAGATGCAACACGGAGACCGTGGACTTGAAGAAAGGTAACAACCTTTCAACAGACCCCAGCCTTACCATAGACTGCATCCAGCTCCTTGCCTGGTCTCTGGTCGCTGCCACACACCTCACATTTCACTTCACTTGCCCATCTGCCCTGTCTCTCTCCTCTTGATCCTTACATCTCCCTTCCTTCCCTTTCTCCCTCATTACCCATTACCAATGAACCTACAGGTCTTGCACCCTTAAATCCCTCCCTTGATACCTCTCACCCGCCCTTCCCCGTCCCATCATCCACTCTGCCCCCCTCTTCCCCCTCAACAGATCTTCCCAACATACTCTCCCCTATCTCCATTCCCTCTACCCCCTCCCTCTGGGCCCCCGTCCCCCCTCTCCCCCCCTTCTCTCATGCATTCCCTCTATCTCACTCACCTTGCCTCTCTCTGTCAAACACCTTCCCCCCCATCTCTTTTCTCTCACCTCTCTCAGCCCATTCTCTCTTCCTCACCCAGCCTCCTTCACCTTGCTCTATCACACACTGCACTCCCCCTGCCCCACCGCTACAGCCCCCACTCTTCACCCATGCGTTCTCTCCCCTCTTTGCAGCTGCTCTCCCTGTTCTGTCCCATACTACCCTGACAACGTGACCAACAGCCGTTCTGAGCTGAGATCCCAAACTGCAGACTGATTCGATTCTGCACCGAGAGGCTGAGGTGTGGGGGACAGAGGGTTGGAGCAGGAGCTCAGTTTGGAGCCTCCTATTTGTGCGTGCTGGAGGTTTGGCGCAGTGAGCAGACTCTCTCTGTGGCCCTTGTCTGAGTGCTAACAGCTTGTATCATCTCTCTCTTCCTCCCTGACCCCCTCCACCTGATTCAGACTACGTGTGTGTGCTGGACGTGGATCTGCTGGAGCTGGTGATCACCACCTGGAAAGGAGACTCTGGTGGAAAGCTGGTGAGATGCTCAATCCTGGATAAACGCACTCTGTTCCCCACAACCCTTGACCCTCTGTTGGCTCTTCCACCTCTGACTGTGTCTGTGTGTATTCGCAACAGCTTGTCTCCTGCTAAGGCATGAGTCCCCTGTCCTAGCTCCCTCTCCAACCCTCACCCTTGTAGCTACAGCCTCCTCCACTGAATGGGATCGTTGCTGATGGCAGAATTGGCCTGTAGGGTGTGAGCATCCTTCATCGCCTTTCTGCCCACTATCCCATCCCGATAGATCAATGAGGGCATCCAAAAATCAGGAATCTTCTGATCTGTGTTTCTCAGCAAGCACTGCTCTCATTTCTCGGACAATAGGGACAGAGGAATAGATGAACAAGGAACAACAGTAAGCCAATCTGCCTTTCCAGACAGATCCGTCGTTCAATACGATCACGACTGATCTGATTTTAACCTCAACCCTGCATTCATCAAGAATGAAGGGGGGGCGGCACATGTGGCTCAGTGGTTAGCACGGCTGCCTTACGGTGGCAGGGACCCGGGTTCGATTCCATCCTCGGGCGACGGTCTGTGTGGAGTTTGCACCTTCTCTCCGTGTCTGTGTGGGTTTCCTCTGGGTGCTCCGGTTTCCTCCCACAGTCCAAAGATGTGCAGGTTAGGGTGGATTGGCCGTGCTAAATTGTCCCATAGTGTCCAGGAATGTGTAGGTTAGGGTGGATTGGCCGTGCTAAATTGTCCCATAGTGTCCGGGGATGTGTAGGTTAGGTGAGTTAACCGTGGGAAATGTGGGCTTACAGGGAATAGGGTAGGTCTGAATGGGATGCTCTTCAGATGGTTGGTGTGGACCTGATGGGCTGAATGGCCTGCTTCCCTTTGCATGACTATAGTGGGTCATAGAAAATAGGGGGAAGCTCTGTGCATCATGTAATTATCGTAGAATCCCTACTGTGTGGAAGCAGGCCATTTGTGTCTGCACCAACCCTACAAAGAGCATCCCATCCCTGGGAACCTGCACCTCCCATGGCTAATCCACCTCGCCTGCACATCCCTGGGCACTATGGGACAATTTAGCACGGCCAATCCACCCTAACCTGCACATCCCTGGACACTATGGGACAATTTAGCACGGCCAATCCACCCTAACCCACATATCCCTGGGCACTATGGGACAATTTAGCACGGCCAATCCACCCTAACCTGCACATCCCTGGGCACTATGGGACAATTTAGCACGGCCAATCCACCCTAACCTGCACATTCCTGGGCACTATGGGACAGTTTAGCATGGCTAATCCACCCTAACCTGCACATCCCTGTGGGAGGAAACCCATGCAGACACAGGGAGAACGTTCTACAATCCTCTGATTCTCTCTACTTCTGCCTTAAAA